GCGTTGGCCAATTATCGAAAACTAATGTGGGTCGGGACAAAAAAGTCAGACTCCTTCAGATTCAAAACGCCATTTGTTAGATCACCGCCGCCTGTGCTCAGCAGGATTGTTGGAGCACCTATATCTGTGCATATTTCATTTGCATTAATACTAATCCATAATGTCTTATTCTACTCCCGCTAATAGTGAGCACGCTTTATTTCTCGCCGGCTTTTTGCTGTATTACGACAGAAGGTGCACCTTAAGTCGATTAGTCCTGATCTAAATGAGGCCTTAAACGGCTAAAGTACGCCCACTTTCTGCCCGTGGCTGTATTTGATTAGAATTGGTAGTTCTAAATCTATTTTTTTCCACGAGTCAGAATAGTTGATCAATTCTTTTGAAAAATTGAATCTTTTGTAATTTAATTTTGGTTCTTTTTTGAAGAATTTTTATTGCACTTTTGAATTTTGTGTAGCCGGGTAAATTTAGGCGTCTTTCTAGAAAAAAAAGATGTAATAACCCACTTAAGTCGGCGTCGTTTTTAAAATTTGATAATGATCACTCGCAGGAATTTTTAAACGCATGCTGGACTTCTACTGGTTGTTTATCGAGCAGTTTGAAGATGCTCTTAGTAGTTTGCACAGGTATGACAAGGACACCCTTTTGCAGAATTTGATGGTAAAAACATAACAGCTTGGATAAAAACAGCAAACGACCAGAGCATTTTACTGTGGAACGACTTTTCAATCGCCTTCGGTTCCAGAAAGAAGCCATCTTTCCCCATATTACAGGTTCATTCTATATCATTGCGAAGCAACTAGAATTTATATACGATTAAATTAACTAAGCTTAGTGAGTTAGCAAGCGTGGCATTTAATGGTCCTGATCAGAATTGAAAGATCCATCGCTTGCAGTTTCATCAGCTGTTCACCTTTCGGCATCCAGTATCTGCATGATATAATGTGATTCAGTAACAGGTGTTTGTTGAAACGAGAGGACTGCATTCTATTCTATGGGATGACGAAAGCAGCCAAACGAGCGATGATGCCCTTCCTGAAAGCCCATGGGCCATTGCGCAGCTCAGCGTATTGAATAGCCGTATGGTACCGGAAATATTGTTCGATGGGTACAGCGATTTGTTGAGCACTGCATGGAATGCAGATGGACAACCCTTTCTTATTCATGATGTTTGTTTTTCACTACTACAGTATTTTTGAGTATCCCAGTGGTGGCTAAATGAATCACCACTTTCAACCAGCGCCAATTACACACTGTCAATGCATAATCGTTCACGGAGTTTCTCTTCTACAGAACTTTCATTGCAGATGAATTTAGTGTATCGACAATATTATGGTTATATGCCATTATTAAGTGGATTGTCGATCACACTTGATATTTTGGGGACGCTGTCTGTTGCTTTGTTTGGTTCAACAAAATTCAGCTTGTGGAACAAGGACGGCAATATTGTAGTGAATTCAAGGTGCGTTAAAATCTCCCTTCTCAAAAGCCGACCACAGTGATTTTATTGCGTTGATGAACTGACCATTTCTAAATATATTCTGCAAAAAAATACCAAAGCACAGAGGGCGTACAGAACTGATTACTGTACTAAAAAATAATGCAGGAACTTGAACAGAAAGCCGAAATACAAATATGCTCAGGCGACGGTTGCATCACATTTTATTTGCAACTTTTTACTGCGTTTTTGTTTTTTTACAGCGTGTCAACAAAGTTGGAGGGCAGCATCGGACTAGCATCCGGGGAAGAAATGATCGGAAAGGCAACAACTTTCCTCTCTGCAACAGGCACTCTGAGAATACAGTTTTATGCCGATTTTTACGCAATTCCACATCTACTTTGCACAGCCGTTTCTCATTCACCACTTTTGATCAGGTTATCCAGTTTTGCTTATTACTAAGCCAAGCACTGTATGTACTTGCCACAATTCCTATAGCAGTGAAAAAGAACGAAAAAAGTGTGGAACAAAAACAACACAGGCGAACCAAGTTGATGTAGTAAAGCCACAATCGGTTAAATTAATTCAGACAGTTGATTGATTGTAGATCTGTGCACGCAGTGTGTCATCCCGACGCCGAGACAAATAAATCCTGGATAGGGTGAAAGGAGATAGGATCCAACAAATCTTTCGTACATCATTTGGACAAATTCACATAATGTTGAGCTGTAAAAAGACTGAACGAGACTAGGAAAGATTAAATGAAAGGATCAAAACTTGATCAGCGTTTGCTGCTGTATGAAAAAACAAATGTTTTGGCTATCACTTATAGCTAAGTTTTCGTTAAAGTAAATTCGATCCAGGTAATAAGACTCCCTTCAGACTGCTGTTTTTCCAGTACCTCAAAAAACCAACTAATTAAAACTTTGTTGGTATTTAATCAAAAAAGAATGTTACCCAAACATATTGCAGAAATTACATGATATTTTAATATTATGCTGAATGGTATGGTACTGGACAGAATAATGCATCTGATGTACACAGGGTCGGGAGCTGGATTCTGCCAGTGGGGTAGCCATACACTTCTACAGTTCATTCGTTTCGACGTTAATAAGAATATTGATGATGATATATCATGTGTTAAAGAATAATTAGTAAAAATAGGAAGTCTTGGTTCACTAAGTTGTATACATTCGTATTCGACACCACAACTGGACAGCGTTTCGGTGGTAATAAAGACATCAATGACAGTATGATACTGGCGTGTGCCAAGAAGGCAAATTAGCAGTCAGTTTGCTTTTAAATCACTGGCGACGCGCACTGGGCGGGCTCGTGCGACCATGCGTTTTTGCAGCATTTCATGCTGTAATGAGATCGTTCGGAACCCAGTAGTTGGAAAAGTGTGATACACTGGTCCGCGAAATCTGGGAAGTGTGGACGAGGAACAATTCGCTGAAATTTCAGTTTTCCAAATTTTCTGGTTCTTGAGTTAGTAGTTTTCCTAGCCAAAATTTCCATGGAGCCGTACGCGACACCGCGTATGCCTGAGGGCTGAGTTTGATAAATTTAAGTCGTACATGGGCAGGGAACATTCCCTGAAAATTTCAGCTCCCCAGCTTTCCTGGTTCTCGAGTTAGCCATTTCCGCGCCAAAAACCTTT